AAGTAGCTAAAAGTCTAGCCGGTCCTAGTGGTCCGGTTCATAACCCCCTCCTTTTACCACTGCAGAAACTCGGGAGGGGGACACGGCCCCCCTCTACTCCCCCTGCAGTGGGACCGAGGCTTCAGAAACCCGGCACCGAGTGGGCCGCGAACCGGGCTCTTTGTCCCATTGGCATCGACCAAACCCACCACGCCACCGAGCTCCTTCCACACTTGAACTCTTCTCCGGGCACTTTTATCTTCTTACTTTGGCCGCTGGACCACAAAACCCACTCAGCCTCTAAAGGGAATCGAACCCATGACTTCAGAGCGTCGCCTGAGTCCTCTAACCCACCGTGCCACCGAGACCCACACTAGAACCTTTTCTCCGGACACCTTTATCTTTTCACGTTGGCCGCTGGACCACAAAACTCACTTGGTCTCATAAGGGAATCAAACACACAACCACTAGTTAATGGGCCACTCTTCTAACCCACTGCACCATTTCACCTTACACACTTCATCTGTGTTTCTAACAGCTTTTCACTTGTTTCTATGAACATCTGACTTCAAAATTCACACAGTTGAACGAGGCTCGAACCCACATCCTACCACACATCCTGGGTTTGATCCCTCGACCTTAGACACTCAGGTAGCATCATCTCATCTCACTGTGCTACACCTGAAGCTGGAAATGTGTGTTTCCTTCCGATGTCTGCCTTCTCGGAAGGCAGACATCGGAATGTTAGAACACATGAGTTTGGGATTTGAACCTTCAACCTCATGGAGCAACACCATCAGCTGCTTATCTTACTGAGCTATTCCTGCTGACAGTTCTTTTATTTTGTTTGTAAATAATAGCACTTGTTGCATCCTTGTTGCAAGTCCATTTGTTGGTTTAGACGTCTGATCCAACACAATCACATTAATTGGTTGAATAAACGTGGAAACTTTGTCAGATTTGAACCACCGCAGAGTTGAGTCAGCTGACGACTCACACTGGTTTAAGTCTTTCTCTCAGAATCTTTAAATCAGCACCTGTTGGCTTTTAAAACTTAAATTTTACGTCAGCTTTGAACCCACAACCTTTAGGTTGAGAGTCATGTGTGCCCCTGCTTGAGCTACCCATATTCAGTTCTCACAACAACTAAAGGAGGCTCGAACCCTGAACCTTAGAGTCTGAGGTCTTCAGACAATTTAAAGCTTGATGTTGATGTTTAAAAACTACAAATTTAGTAGTTTATCTCACACTGAACTACTGTATAGTCAACTATTAACTGCATGAACCAGTAGTTGCTGTATAAATGCAATATTTGAACCTAAACTGTTGTGGTTAAGTACCAATAATTCTCAGTTTTGCTTAAATAAACGTTGAATATGTACGTGCTTTATAACATTAGCAGAGGCAAGACTTCCCCTACAAAAGGCTCATAGTTTGTCCTGCTGGGATATCTCACTAGTTGTTTGACATATTGACTGAAATACAACATAGAATTCAGATATTTTAATTCACAACACAGTTTCTGACGGACCTGCAGCTCGGCAGGAAGGAGGCTCGACCTCTAGCTCCAAGGCTACTGACTCATTTTTCTGAAGCCCTCTTCAGCACTGAGTTTCTTTCAGTTGCTGTATTTCAGCAGAAAAATTTATTTGTCCTTTTTGTTTTTGCAGCCTCCTCCAACAGTCTGCTGCTCTTGGTCCCTGTGGGTTCCCTCAGTTTACAGACTGCTGCATCAGACTGAGACTGAGGCCGGTGCATTCATCCTCAGCTGCAGGAAACAAGCTTGATTGCCTTCTTCATCACAGTTACTCGTTCCTGCTGCCATCTTCACAATCCATCTTGTTCAACATTCTCTGTATAGTTCAAACTGGACTTTATGTGTTGTTTGTTTCCAAAGTGTCATCATTGTCCATCCATTTACTCTCAGAATCAGTGAGGGCCGACATCAATCAGCTACCTTACAGCACCTCTGGAACAAAAACCACAGACTGGCTCTGGCTGGAACCCAGAACCTTAAGACTTGAAAGCAAAAGGGCCCTTTCCTTTAACTTTCAGCCATTTATTCTCACCACACAACCTCATATATATATATATATATATATATATATATACACACACATATAGAGACACTCACCACAGTCTCCTCCAGTCCCTTCAGGTCCTCTCTGGCCTGCTCACTCTGTTCATTCAGCAGTCTGCAGAGAAATACCAACATTTACTAAACATATAAAGTATTTCCTCAGATTCTAATCAAGAGTTAGTGCTGTACCATATGGTAAATCAATCATTTTTGCATCTTTTCTTACATCTGGAGAACAAGATTTATAGGCCAAGGCATCTCTGCAGGGCTAGGGTACTTCATTATAATGCTGTTTGTCACATTGTACCTTTGCATATTGCAATAATATTTCCACTGATTGTGCAGGCAGACGCCAGTGTTCGCTGGTACCTACATGAGTTTCTGGAGCTTTGCATCCTTCTCCTGCTCTTCAGCCTTCAGTTTGTCGTAGTCTGTCATGAGTCTCTCCTGCTCCAATAACAGACCCTGGTTTAGACTGCAGACAAAAGATGATCAATAAATATGTACAAAAAACTAAGATTATTAAATACATATTTGAATCTGTAAATAAATGAATATTTCAGAATGTATTTATTATTTCTATTAACTACCATATTAATTTGGATTTATTTATACACTGATAAATACATCTGCTTTCATCCTCCATACTCACTGACCTACAGTTACACAGAGAGCTCCGTCTGTGGCTCCTCTGGCTACTGAACTAATTCTCAGAGGTCCTCACAGTCTCTGGCTGATCTTGAATCTTTGAAAACTCAAAGAGTGAAAACTGACTTTGAACCCACAAGTTACCGACTTTATTGGCTGAGATTCACTTCACACACACATGCTCTTTGAGCTTCTTTCTTCTCCTCAACAGTCTCTCTTCGAGTGGAAATCAGGCTGAAGTTAAACCTTGAACCATGTGTAATAAATCCTCTGCACTGAATGAAGGGCTTGCAAGACCCAAGATGGATGACACTGGATTTCACCATTTTTAAAATATTATTCCGCACACGGCCTGAACTCAACATTTGTGAAAAAAAGCTCTAATTTCAGAGAATGGGTTCATGTTTTCCAGACTTTTTCAGAAACATTGCATCACGAAGAATACCGACAAACTTCAACTTTATACTTCACTGACTGACAACTAACAAGAAGAACACTTTTGACATTATAAAGTCAGACATTTGTGAGAAAGAAACTCAGTATGTTGTTTTCTTCTGCAATGTCTCTCCACTGTCTGGATGCTTATGATAATATGGTAGGCAATGTGGTTCATTGACAAGAAAAATTAATAAATATAAGTTTTTTCTTTTAAATCTACCACTTTAATATCAGAAATTCTGCTCTGTAATAAAAAAATAACCTAATTTAACCTACAATGGCCCTAATACGCCGTTACAGAAAGCTCCACCAAAAGTATTTTGATCCGAAACAAATCTTAAAAGTTAAATTTTGCTAAGAAAAAAGGCTTTTTTAGTGTTTTTCTAAACCTATTTGATAAATCTGGACCTGCTGTGCTTCTACGTCGCCGGTGCTTCGTGTGTGTTTACTGGTGTGTCCTCACTCTGTGAGCTCGTCCAGCATCCTCTGCTTGTCTTCGATCTCGTCTCGGAGGCGACTGAGCTGCTTCTGGTGGGCCTCCCTGTGGCTCTCCAGCTGCTCCTCCAGCTGCTCCTCCAGCAATTTCTAGACAGAGAAACTCATTACAGATGCAGTCATTTAACAGTTCGACTGCTGCAGTTTCCAGCTGCGAACGGTCTGCGGTCGTGGTTTTCAGATCCACCTCTCCTCACCTTGATGTCATCGTCTCCATCCAGCCTGCCAATGTCCTCCTTCTCTTTCTCCTCCCCCGATACTTCATGTCTTTTCTCTGAGAGCAAACAAAGAAGACATACGGCTCTGTTGTCAGGTGTTTCACTGACAAGAAAGAAGTGTGTGGAGTATTCTGGGTGTTCATCTTGCCGTGTACCGACCCTGAGCGTGCAGTTTGGCGAGCTCCTCGGTCAGAGCATCCTGACTCTCCTCCAGCTGCCTCTTCTTCTGCTCCATGTTCTGCATGTAGTCAGTCAGAGACTTGATCTTGGCCTGGTGCTGAATACAGAGGGGGACGACACAAAACATGGCAAGAGAGAAGTTCAGTCGTTCATCCAGAGCGACTTTAAATAAGTATAACAGGAACAGGAAGTCCGTTTCTCAGTTTTCTCTTGCCACAGAGCACTAATTTCATAAATAATTTCATAAATAATTGCATATTTCTACAACATAGGTGACCTAGTTTTAATACAAGAGACAAACATATAAAGTAGTTGTGCAGAGAAACAAATATTAGCCTGGAAACTGATTTTAGTAGTTTGTCTATTTAACTCAAAAAAGTTTTTGTTTTAGTTTAGGACTGAGATTTATAATATAAATGTATAATCTCCAGTGAGGTCAAATGTTGTCCCAGAGTTTCAACAGACACCAAGTACAATGAATTATGGGGAAATACAATATAATAATATAACTTATATAACTTAAATATATCTTTATTTTTAATAGTAAAGGTGCAATTATAACAAAAAATGGCCTCTTGGGTTTGATTGTTCGACTTTAATTGTATTAAAGGTCCAGTGTGTAAGATTTAATGGCACCTAGTGGTGTAGTTGCAGATTACAACCCCCTTGCCTCACCGTGTCTCTGGACCATGGTTTTGTAAGTGATGGTTACCTGGGAGATGAGCAGCTGACAGGACGCCAGCTCCTTCTCATTGGCCTGGATCTTGCGGTGGGCGTCGGCCTGAGCGCTCTCCAGCTGCTTGCTGCGGTTCACCAGAGACTTGACCTCGGACTTCATCTTGCTGATGTAGAGGCGAGCCACGGTGAACTCCTCCTCCACCGCCGAGCCGTTCCCCTTCGCCTCTGAGGACTGAACGGAGGAGGGAGGTTGTTAGGGTGTGAAAGATGACGTGTGTGTGTGTGTGTATGCAGTATGTGCACGTCAGTCCTCACCGTGGCGGTCTTGACGTCACTGGTGCCGATGATGGTGCCGATGTCGCTGAGGTCTCGCAGCAGCAGGTTGAGGACCTCGCCGGCTCTCTTCCTCTGCAGGCCGTTCAGCTCCTGCAGCTGATTCAGCTCGCTCTGCACGGCCGACAGCAACGCCTGCACACACACACATAAAGTTTAACTGATGCCTTTAAATAATAATAATACTAATACTACTAATAATAATAACCAACTGTATTTATATAGAACTTAAATTTACAAAGTGCTTTACAAGGTTGAAACAGAAGTATTGTTTACTTACTACATTTCAGACACAAATATTGTACTTTTTACAATCATTGACTTCAGTTACTTTACAGATTCAGACACAAATACAAAATATAATTAACAAATACATTTTGATGTTTTAATATCAGTTAAGGTAAGACTTTATTGTTGTTCCCCTGGGGAAAATTCACAAGCTACTCAGCAGTGTGTAGAGTAAAATGAGCTCCACCTTCACCAGCTGTAACATTAAGTTCACATTAACGCAGCAATGATGGATTTAATAATGTAATATATGTTGTTTAGGGTCCTTCTGCATGATAAGTAGTTTTACTTTTAAATCAAATAAATGTATTTTTTGATGCAAACTAAAGTATTTAATTTATATTTTTACACTGTTGCACTGTTACTTTTACTTTTAAGATTTTAAGTATTTGTTACCACTAATAAACTGTAATTATCTCCTGGTTTACAGTACAGGAAGAGGGCACTGTTCTTCCTAACGGCAGATAAACAAGGGCAAGATATTTCCTGTCGGCCTCATGTTGGATGATGGGAAATATCAGGATATAAGATCAAAGTCACGGCCCACTCACCCTCTTGTGCTGCAGCTCCTCGATCAGCTGCAGGTTGTCTTGCTCTCTCTCGTCCACCTCTCGGCTCTTCTGGTCGTAGTTGACGGCCAGCTCCTCCAGGGCCTGCAGCACCTCCTTCACCTCCTCCTTGGAGGCTTCGTTCTCCGCCAGCAGCCGGTTTAGTTCTGTTTGCAGGATGTCGTGATC